TCGATTGAATGGTTTTGATACCATTGTCAAAAAGCAATAGACTATAAATGTATGGGTTCTGGACTCTCAATTCTATTCCATTGATCTATATGTCTATCCTTATGTGTGTAGCACACTGGCTGCATTACTCTATCTTTGTAGAAAATTTAGGAATTAAAATGTGTAAGTCCCCCAGATTTGTTATTCTTTTTCAAGATTTTTGTGGCTATTCTGGATCATTTGCATTTCCATATAAATTATAGAATCAACTTGTCCATGTCTACAAAAAAGGCATTGCTTTTTTTTTTTTTGAGACGGAGTCTTGTTCTGTCTCCCAGGCTGCAGTGCAGTGGCGCAATCTCAGCGCACTGCACCCTCCACCTCTTGGGTTCAAGCTAGTCTCCTGCCTCAGTCTCCCTCGTAGCTGGGATTAGAGGCACACACTGTCACACCCAGCTGATTTTTATATTTTTAGTAGAGATGGGGTTTCATCATGTTGTCCAGGCTGGTCTTGAACTACTGATCTTGGTAATCCACCTGCCTCCACCACCCAAAGTGGAGGATTACAGGTATGCACCTGGCCAGGATTGAAAAGTTTGATGGAGAGGTCATTGAATCTGTAGCTTTGCAAGTACTGTGATCTTTATCTTTTTTTTTTTCTTTTTCTGAGACAGAGTCTTGCTCTGTCACCCAGGTTGGAGTGCAGAGGTGTGATCTTGGCGCATTGCAACCTTTCCCTCCTGGGTTCAAGTGAGTCTCCTGCCTCAGCCATCTGAGTAGCTGGGATTACAGGCGCCCGCCACCATGCCTGGCTAATTTTTTAGTAGAGACGGGAGTTTCACCATGTTGGCCAGGCTGGTCTTGAACTCCTGACCTCGTGATCTGCCCGCCTCGGCTTCCCAAACTGCTAGGATTACAGGCATGAGCCACTGTGCCTGCCCAGTACAGTCATCTTAATACGTATTGTTTTCTGGTTCATGAGCAGGGAATGTCACTTTCTTAGATCTTCTTTAACATCCTTCAACAATGTTTTGTAGTCTTCAGTCTTGCACTTATTTGGCTAAATTTATTCCTAAGTATTTTATTCTCCCCAGTTGCTGTTACAAATGAATTTCCCTTTTTGTTTTGTTTTTTGAGACAGGGTCTCACTTTGTCACCCAGACGAGTGCAGTGGTGTGATCTTGACACACTGCTGCCTCAACCTCCTGGGCTCAAGATATCTTCCCATTTCATCTGTAGCTGAGACTATGGATGTGCACCATTATACCTGGCTAATTTTTTAATTTTTTTTTTCTTTTTTTGTAGAGACAGGGTCTCACTATGTTGCCTGTGCTTGTTTTGAACTGGGCTTAAGTGATCTACCTGTGTTAGCCTCCTGACATGCTGGGATTGTAGGTGTGAGCCACTGTGCCCAGCTGTAATAGATTTTCTTAATTTTTGTTCATTGTCAGTGTAGAATACAACTTACTTTTTCTTGGTCAGAAATACAACTTATATTTTCTTGGTCAGCCTAGCTGAAAGTTTGCCCATTTTTGTAGACAACCCTTTTCAAAGAACCAACTCTTGGTTTCATTGATTTTTTTTTTTTTTTTT